GGCACTAGCATCATGACTGTCTTTGTTTAAACCAGCAGCAGTGCAGCGGTACACAGACTAACCTGTGTGTGTGTGTGTGTGTAACGTAGTTCTTCAGATGTGTATGCTTAACATGTATGTATTTATCACAGTAAAGATGGTATACAAAAGCTTTTTAAAGAGCTTTCAACCTCATCCCATTGTCTTTAACACACATTTAACATAATAATATACTCATATTAATATACAAATATACAGTATGAGTACTGTTTTGATACTGACATTTAATCTTTGCACAAAGGTGTGTCTGCACTATTGTAATTGTGTCTGTTGACTGTGGTAAATAAAAGAGAGAACCAAATGCACTGTACAAAAGATCAGCTTTAGTGTCTTGCCCCGTGGCGATTTGTTTAGGTTGCGTCTCCCCAATGGTTGCTTCCAGGCGAATACAGAGGAGTTGAAAAGATCCACTTTGATCCACTGCACATTGGTGTGCACCAGGCCGAGGTTCTATTGTTCACCCAGAGAGAGCGCGGGACACGACGCGTTCTGTAGTATTCGCATATCTGGAATACATACAAAGACACAAATTAGCCCTACATAACTTCATAAATCCTACATTAGATAGTATTAATGTGATTTAATGAACGTACCATTGCTGTTCTTTGGGCGTGATAACGGTCATCATCCTCAGCTATCGAAACATGTCCATAGCGTGGTCCAATCCTTTTGTTAAGGCTTCTTAACCGCCTTCGCCTCCGACTCAGCATTTCTATTGCATTTGAATGGTCGATCTGTATTTTTATTTGTGGCTGAGTTATTGGCTTAAATAACTCCGTTACGAAGCTGTATAACACGAGCACCAAAACGTCAACTCCATACCGTGTCTGAGGTCGGAAGGTAAACAGAAGCATACAGCGGAAGCGGAAGCTTTTCTTCTTCTTCTCTCGGTTTTTTTGGCGGATTGCAACTTTAAGGTGCATACCGCCACCTACTGTACTCGCCGTGAAGTTGTTTGCAGCCTGCTAGGAAAATCTAAGCAGAAGAAGAAGAAGTGACGTCAGCGGCTCATTTGCCTAATCCACCCCCAGGAACTCATTTTGGTGTGAACGCGATCTGCTTTAGTTCGTCAGAACTAAAAGAACTCTCATGAACTAAAGTTCTCAGGAACTACTGTGGGAAAAGTATTTGGTGTGAACGCGGCTCTTGACTTGAAGATGAAGTCCATTTGCCTACAAAAATCTCTATTACTTTTTTGTAAAAGTCCTCCTTATCTTCTTGTAGTTTCAAAAGTCGAATCAAAATCAAATCAAAAGTTCGAAAATTATAAAAGTAGGGTAGATATGTGGATATTATCCGGGTGAACAAAACGTGCATTTATCTAACAGGTACGTTTCCCACAGATCTTATTTCGAGCTATTTTCTAAAATCCTATGGAGAAATCTCATTGCTTTTTTGTCGAGGGAAGCCATGCGCAGCTTACTTCCGGGTTTTAGGACGCGTCACTGCAGCTCTCTCGTCTCCTCTTCACACACCACACTTTTCGCGGCACACGTACTTACAGCCAATCAGCTCTGAATTATGTGAGATGACGTATGGTGGGGATGGCAGCTCAGTGCCCCTATGGTCATTATTTTTTTGCCACACACATTAAATAGGAAAATACTTTGAGCATGCGCAGTGTAGCTTTTACAGTCACCATTCACTTAGACAGTGAGAGGGAGGGGCATGATCGGGTTTTGTCCCACATGGCTCAAAACAGCTCAATAGGCACACACTGTAGACACTAATTAGACGAACACAGACTAAAACAGCAATGTACAGACGAATCAGATGATTAAACATGATCTTAAAATATATTTTATATATTCTTTTATTTATTTTTTGCATTTTTTTGTAACCATTATTTTTAATACTTTCTGCTGACACTAGCTGGGGCTGTGCCACCTGCCCCTAATGACCAGTCGCCACTGTTGGTGTGATTATATATGTGCTTAGAGTAGCGTGTTGATATATGTGTTTAGAGTAGCATGTTTAGCTTCCCTTTACTAGCTGCGTTTTCCTGCAGCCTCCTTCCATTAGTGTTGATTGGTAGTGATTTCAGGTGTGTAACTAGGCTCACTTTTATGGCGCATTTCCACCACACGGTCGGCCTCGGCCTCGCTCGGTACTGCTAGGCCGCGTTGGGCCTTGTTAGGGCCAGCTCACTTGATGCTGCGCTTCCATTACAGTTTAGGAACTGGGGTAGTTACTATAGTAACGCAGTGTAGGCGGAGCCGTGACGTCATCTTCAATGAGAACCCCAGAAAAACAACACAGCCGTTAGCTGTTAGCACTCAAGCTCACAGCTCCTCATATCTGTTCAGAAACTAGACAAAAGTTAAACAAGTACAAACCACAGACTGTCTGTGTCATGGTGAATACAGTCGCTGGTTTATTTATGTCTGTTTTGGCCGTTGTTGTGAGTGTGGACGGTCGGAGCATATATTGCGTTAGCTTAGCCAATCTCCATCTAGAAAACACGCATTTTAAAAGGTTTTTCGCCTGCCGTCTGTCTGCAGACTTGTCAAAGCATTAATTCATGGTTTTTACTAACCGGTATCAGTATGTTGTTACTTCGGCATCATTTTGCAACGTGTATTACAATTAAATCACGGTCAAATATGTTCATCTTGTTGTAGTTGTAGCCCCCTTGCCAGCGATTCTCTCTTTAGTTTAGCAAACTCAGCCCTGTTTGTTGGCCCCGATAGAACCACGATTTTGTCGGGCCAGAAAAGAGGTGAAAAAGTACCCCCGGGCCGGAACTAGGCCTAGTGGAAGCGCAACCAAAAACGGGCCCGGCACGACACGGCACGCTTAAACCGCGCTCCGCGCCATGGTGGAAATGCCCCATTAGAGTCCTCCTTCTGTTATTAGCAGTAGATTTGCGCCCTTTTGGCTTCTTTGTTTGGCTTAGGCTATTTTTGCTCTCAATTTGTTGTACACCTTTTTTTGTTATTCATTAAACCCAATTATAATTATTTACCAAAACCATCTGGTGTGTGTTGCCTTCCTCATCCCTAGTGGGTTCGTAACAGGAACATTCATAAATCAAAATTAATATAACTTAAATATACATGACCTCTTAAATTAAAATAAAGTGAACATTAACACCAATATTATCATTTATAAAATGCTATAACAAAAAAAATAACATAAGCAGCAGATTTTTTTATTAAATATACATACCAACTACAAAATAAGCGGGTATTAAAGTGTAAATGGACAACAAACAGAAATGAAAAGGCCTGATGGTAGTGCTAAATCAGAGCCTATTACCTATTCTCAGTCTTTTTCTCATCATGCACCTTGTGTGTAGTGATCCAATATCGTTACCATAGCCTTGCCCTTTAACAGTTATTACGAGCCCTTGCTCAGCCTAATTTTAGAGGAGCCCTGCGCCGAGCCGCTTCTGGGACGCTTCTGGGACGCTTCTGAGCCGTAACGCGCCGCGTGTGGTGGAATAGCACCCATTGACTAGAGTGGCTGCGATCGTCGTGAGCACCGCGGCGCGCCCGTAACGCGCCCGTAACGCGCCGCAGACGGACGGACCCGGCAGGGCTCCTCTAAAATTAGGATCGAATCCTATTTTTGTCGCGGCGCAGCCGTAACGTAAGGTCGGGCAGGCAGGAAGTGGAACGTTCAGAGCATATATAGCATATATATATATATATATACACACACACAAACTCATTTTGCAGACCCTATCCCCCCGTAGTCTTTCAAGTAGGAGGAGAAATGCCAGCGTTCTCCTCCGGTTTACAGGCACTGTGTAAATTATATATATAGAATAATTATGATGATGAATGCATTTTTTTACCACTAAAATACAGCAACACATCTTTGATTCATGTTGTTTATAACTGGAATATTACAGTTATTATTAACTTTGTCTGTACAAAGTAGCCTGTCCAGGAAATATGCCCAAATCAACAAAAACTGCGAGCCGGCAGGCAAGACGCTCCGCTTCTGAAATGCTTCTGAAACGCGCCTGGTAGGGTATGACGCCGGAGGAGGCCGGACAAAAACCGCGGCGCAGCCGTAACGCGGCGCAGACGGACCCGGTGGAATCTAGGGGTCACGTTACGGCTGCGCCGCGCCAAAAATAGGATTCATCCTAATTTTAGGGGAGCCCTGCGCCGAGCCGCTTCTGGGACGCTTCTGGGGCGCTTCTGGGATGCTTCTGGGACGCTTCTGAGCCGTAACGCGCCGCGTGTGGTGGAATAGCACCCATTGACTAGAGTGGACGCGATCGCCGTGAGCACCGCGGCGCAGCCGTAACGCGCCCGTAACGCGCCGCAGACGGACCCGGTGGAATCTAGGGGTAATCGTCCTAACTTTTCACCCCCTTACGGCGCCTCTGGGTCTAGTATGCTAAACTATAGTAGTTTGCATATTAGATTAAAGTGGACCTATCATGCTATATTTGAATAATATAGTGTTGGACCATACCTAAATTTATACTTTTTTTTTTTCAAAATACCAAACAGATCATGCATTTTAGCCATGCCTCATTTCGCTCAATTTGACATTTTTTAGCTCTGTTTTTGCAAGGGCTGATTCTGCGAGAACAGCACCATCGACAGGCCTGGCATATGTACTACAGCGTCTCCAGCGCTTTCGAACGGCAATGGCCGTGGCTGTCTCCTCCTGATTGGTGGAGTTGGCCCAATAGCGGTAGCGCCACTGTCCTGACGTCAGGACAGTGTTCAAATCTGGATCAGTTTTTATCAGATCCGTTGCAGCCCCTTTTTTAGAGATTTGGGTATGGAGGAAAATAGAGAGGGTTGTGTTTTCTGACACTTGGTGAGTTCCCTGGAACACCGGGGACACATATTCATGTATAAAAGACGTACAAAAGTGCATTTTGCATGATAGGTCCCCTTTAAGTTTAAAGAACATAAAAAGAAAACGTATTTTTTTGTGAAATTGTTTCTTACCACTCGGGGTACACACACACGACAAAACACACAAATACAATCTAATGAATAACTAATTTATTTAAATCTTCAACAGTTTGAAACAATAATCTTTGAACCAAATGATCCATCATTACAGACAATATTCACACAAACTGTGAAGGACCCTTGATGTGCTTACCTGCGGAGAGATAAATAGCAAGGTGCTACAGGTATAGATAAGACAGAATAAAGGGCACAGACAGAGGGGTGGTGCGTTCAGGGTCGGGGTTAAAGCAGTGGTGCAGTCAGATGTGTACACAGGCACAGAACATAGAGAATGGCTACTTTTTTCAATTAGAGTAAATCCATCTCTAATTTCTAATAATAATACATGTTTGGAGGTAATGTATACAGCAACATTTATGACCAAAACATATTTGAGTATTGTATATAATTCAAAGCTCACAAGGTTATTCACATTGTCATTCGATTTCTCATTTGAAGGCCCCATTTATCTATTGTACACGTGTATAACCTGGAGGATGCAGTCAAACTATATACACTTATTCCACAGTATGTATTTACCTCCTCGATTGCCACTATCCCACAAGAGCAAAGAGGGACAAGATATCAGGATTCATATACAAATACTGATGGACATGTTTGTCAGTGGGCCATCTCAGAGGCAAGGCATGACGAGGGAAAAATAAAAAGTGCCAGGAGTAAAGAGAAAGACGCGAAAAGCACGAGTTGCAGAATTGAAAAGCTACAGCACAATTTGTAATCCATTGTGCTCATTATTTGCTGTCATTCTCCGCTTTCACTTCATACTGTCATTTGATTGCCAATGGTCTTGTTTCCAACATATTCGATTGTTAAAATTGTAAGATGTACAGCAAGTATTTCGGTTTGTGTGTCTGTTTTGAAGTGTGTGTCAGAGAGCAAGGGGCCACAGCCAAAGATGTTTATCAAGTTGTGCCCAATGCTAGGAGTAGACACTAGGAAACGTGAGAAAATTAAATGTACTTTCTATGTAAATCTGTAGGTGTGTGTGTGCTGTACGCTCATGTTACTGTATACAGTCCATGACATGTATCTGCAGCGTGTCCATATCTGGAGCCTGGTACTGGCACTTAGGACAACATAAATCAGGCAGCTCCTCAGCACCAGCGGCTCCTTGATCACCAAGGGGGGGCAAACCCTGATGGCGGAACGAGGGGGCCGGTGGCACCGTGTTGAAAGCTGCAACAGGGAACGGAAGCATCTTAAAACAGCTTCTGACACATTTCCCTTTTGTTTTACAAAGTGACCACACACATTCAGTACAGTAGCCCACTACTCAAAAGCCTTCTTCTTTAAAATCCATCAATTACATTGATAATGCTGCACAAAAGTTAGTAAACTAAACTCAGTACATTTACCTATACGGTGCTTATTCAAAATATTCTGTGTTTGCTTAGGGGCAGCAAAACTTACAAATGATACTCAAGTGTCCACTGCATTTGAAATCAAGCACCTGGGCTAATATCTTAACTTAAAAAATACTATGCTTCAACCTTGATAATCATTTGTATAAAGTAACTTTTTCACTGTCAAACAGTTTTTTCTGTTAATAATATTCAAGTGTTTATGGAAAAATATATATTTAATGCATGTGCGGCCTATTGTGTATAGCTTTTGGATCATAAAGTACTATTTGAGTGGGGCTTGACAGCAAAGAGATATTGGAGTAGGTATCATGAGAACAAATCTGCAGTAAGTCCTGATCTGTTGTTTTGCAGCAGTGACCAAAGAGCTTTTGTTCAAATTCTTATTGACCATAAAATCTATAATATTAAAAATCTATAATAATATAACGTGTGGGTGTTACTTTATATCTATGTGCCTGTTATTTTGAATGTGTGACTTTGTGTGTGGTGTACCTTGAGGGGGGGGAATGTGTGGCGCCCTTGTTGGAAAGTCTTCCAGGTGTCTCAGCTTCATCTGCTCGATGCGTGCTCTGAAACAGGGGACAAAGAAACTCTCCTGTTCAATCAAACTTGAGAAGATCTCTCTCCTGGCTTCTGTTGTGTTCGTGTAGCATTTTTTACTTGCAGTGTTTCGTTTATCAAGTGCTTTAAGTAAACTACGCATGTTGGTAAAGATGTTTCTTCATTTGCAAAAAGAAAAGAGAAAAAGTGAAGGAAATTGATTGCTAAACATTTGTTTCAAACACAGACAATTGACAATTTTAATATCTCTAGAACTTAATTGCTCTATCCCTAACAATGCCAATATAATTTGTATTATTTTATAACTATTAACCGTATAATAATATATCAGAATGTTGTCGATAAATCCTTAAACAAAATCTATGCATTATATAACACTAATCTATCAAAGTTATTTGAGGCTAATTCACAAAGTTATCCAGATTAAAAGAAAAGCCATTCATGTTTTACAGGAAAGCCTGCTGGAGCTCACAGCAAGACGGAGCTTTTGACAGTGTGGCGGTGCATTAAGGACTGCATGCCCACATCCAGGAAACAAATAATTGTCATGGTGCTTTTTCCACTTTCAGACTTTCTTTTTACCTTGATGTGGCTTCCTGTTTGAGCCTGTCAATCTCAGTCAGGGCCTGAGTCAGCTGATCCTGCAGCTCCTCCTTCTTCTGGTTCAGCTTCTCTCTCGCTTCTCGCTCTGCTAGGAAATCTGCCTTGTAGATCTCAGCCTGAGCAAACACACAAACAGTGTAAGTATTATAAACGTGTGTGTTTTTTTCTGGAATATTCCAAAACCCAATGAAAGAATCACATTGCTTTTCATCGATGGAGCACTTAGATCCCAACTTCGGGTCGGCCTATAAAAATACGTCATCACTGCACCACTGTACCTGTACCCTGTCCGCACTGTGCAGCTCCTTCAGCGATAGGCTGCTGCACCCCCGGTGTCTCACGGAGAGATACCGCAGGTCTTTCCTTCCTGCAGCGGTCAGACTATACAACCAGCACAGCCCCTAGTTGACCCCCCCCCCCCCCCCCCACACACACACACACCACAACACAGACTATATCACCCCTTGCTGCTTAATAACAACAAACTATGTGCTAGATGTGCAATATATATAGATGCCGTTAATAACTGTGTAATATATACCTGGCTGCTAAATCCTAAGAACTGTTACAGGATGTGTATTTTTTTAAATTATGTAACTTTTTATTTTATCTTTTATTATATCATAACTTAGTACTTTTTTTGAATGCATGTCACATATTTAACATATGTAACATTAAGCTGTCTGTGGCTCTTTTTCCTGCTGTAACTATGCAAATGTCCCCTCCGTGGGACTAATAAAGGTATTCTGATTCTGATAACAGCAGGTTAAATAGGTGGGTGTGGACCATACACAGGCTCATTTATGCATATCTCAAGTGACTCATAGGAAGCTAAATAAACCTCCATGACATGAAATCTTTAATCCAAATCCAGATGCTGGACAAGCAGGAACCGATACATTTCCGCCTGCTTTGGGGGAGTGTTCCTGGGGCTAAACTTAACCATTGCTAGGCAGATCACTGGTTTTAAAAATGTTTTTATTATTGTCAGTGTTTACTACTACAGTCATTCTAGCTACAATTGTAGCACAGTCATTGTTATGCTCTTAACATGTTCGAAGTGGTTTATCCTGATTTTTTTATTTTCTGAAGCCCAAAAAGATAGAATGTTGATGAATTATTGCCCTAATAATGTGATTTCCTATAGAATAATGCACTTAAATGTGATCAGAAAACTGTAGGCCTCCCGCAATCTAACCCAAAACCCCCCCAAGTGTCTCGTCCTTTTAAAGCCTGCCCCCCCACAGGTGGAGGCTGATGTCATTCATTCACAAAGAAGGTGCCCGATATCAAAACATAATAATATAAATATTAGATTACATAAATATCTTATCTCTTCTAAAAATTATATTTCATTAATAATGCTGTAACTCAAGAAGAAATAGGGTGTCAATAATTTACTAGTCATTCTGCTGTCCTCAGCTTCGGTCCAAGAAAACAATATATCTGTTCGATATTTCCATCATAAATCAAAAAGCTGTTAATGGCTCCTATAATGTTAAGTATTGCATGGAAGTGAGATGTTCCGTATGCTGTACCTGTGCAGTGAGGACGGGCACGGTCTCCAGAGAGCCTTTCTGCTGCTCCACCTCCTCCTTCAGTTTATCTATGAGGTCCTGCTTCAGGGCCAGCGCCCGCTCCGCCTCCTCCAGCCGGCTGCACAGATCTCCTCCCTGTGTCACACACACACACACACACACACACACACACACACACACACACACACACACACACAACCACACACACACACACACACACACACACACACACACACACACACACACACACACACACACACACACACCACACACACACACACACACACACACACACACACACACACACACACACACACACACACACACACACACACACACACACACACACACACCACACACACACACACACACACACACACACACACACACACACACACACACACACCACACACACACACACACACACACACACACACACACACACACACACACACACACACACACACGTTAACACAACAATACATGAGCTTCATAGCAAGCATTAAAGAGGGTGAATAGCTGTTTAAATGTGTTTTACCTCACTCTTCAGTTTGGTATCATAGTCTCTAAAAAGACACGTGTAGGCATGCTGCAATTGTGTCAGTTTTTTCCTAAGAGGAAAAAAAGGAAACATAACTTTTACACACAGTATTGCATTACATGTCGGAAATGCAACCGGCTGGTAACAGTGTAGAACAACTTTGAAAGAAACCCAGAAGTGTTCATTTCAAATTTGAGGGAGACCTCACAATGATAGAATGATAATAGAACATTACAACTGTATTGTGTTGGTCCGGAAAATATGTATTTTCAATATTTGTGAGCAGAAGATAAAACAGTTTTTCTAATTAATGGAAAATAAATATTGGGGCCACATGATTTGGAAAAAATAAATAATTCAAATTATTTACACTATTTTGTAAATGCAATATGATGGCCGATTTTAGAGGGTATGAAAAAACATTTACATTATTAATAAAATATATAATTAAATGATCACGGAGTGATTTTTTTTAATAGGATCTGTATTAAACAAGGATTTTTATGAAGTCTGTAGAACACAATTTGTAGGTCAGGACTGCTCTGCACTACTTCATTCATTGTGTTAGTCTATATTGCAATTTCGATGACTTGTGCAGCCCTTGTAAATATTTCCCTCTTTGGGATAAATCTGTCTAAACATCATCACAATGTGGAATATGTATGTGTGTGTGTGTGTGTGTGTGTGTGTGTGTGTGTGTGTGTGTGTGTGTGTGTAACCCACTTCTCCTCTGTGACCACATGTCTCTCTGTCTTCAGGGCGGTCTCCAGGCTCTGGGTCTGCAGCAGCAGCTTGTCCATGGCTACGTGATGCTGCTTCCTCTGCTGCTCCTGCTCCCGCTCGGCCACCTGCAGCGCCTTCATCTTACTGCACAGCCTGCACTCAGGAGAGAGAGAACACATCAGAACACATGCACTTCATGTATGTATGAGACAACTGGATACAGTGTTGTGTTGTGGCAATTAAAGGTGGGGTAGGTAAGTTTGAGAAACCGGCTCGAGATACACTTTTTGTTATATTCCATGGAATGCTCTTAACATCCCGATAGCAATGAATATCTTAAGTGCTTTGACAATAAGTCCATAAGAAAATGTCATCTGTGGAAGCCGTAGTACTGTAAAAAGCACGACCAATCATGTATGGCCTACCTGCCTGTCAGCCTTCCATCTGTGCACAAACTTATCTCGTGCCCTCATTGGTCATGTGCGCGTTCGTGTGTGTTGGACGAGGGGCTCTGTAAGGAAGTGGCAGATTTTTTCCGGCTGTGTATTTTCAAATTCTAGCGCACTCGAGCTGGTTTCTCCAAAATTACCTACCCCACCTTTAAGCCAACATTCCCTGACCCTTGAAAACACAAATACTAATAATACTCTTCCCTGCATCCTCCAGCGTTCTTCCCATTGGACCCATGACATCCACACCATCGTTTTCCTTAAGCCCCGCCTACAATCTGCTAAACCACATCTGGTCTTGACTCAGTCAAATAATTGGCATTTTACAACACAGACAGTAACCAAGGAATTCCACAGGAAGTTGTGAACGTGGAAGTTAGCAGTTTGGAACATGTTGGAACACACTTTATCTGTTCATTGTGTTGCATGATACTCAAGACCAATCACCTCAGCTTAATCACTCCTAACATCATGAGCATTTCCTAACTGCTAAAAACCAATGGAAAATATATTTCAATTAGGCAGGCCGTCTGTGGTGTGATGAGGCTTATCCAACCTTGCCAAACAAAGTCAGGAAGTTCTATTTCGTATAAGGCTTCGCCCTCTAAGGCTATCGCTATTGGGTAATCCCACTGCGCATGCGCAGCACTGACCATCTATGACGTGGGCCCCACCTACGGCCTCACTTCCGTATAAATAGGAAGTAGGCCCGACAATCTGCTCCCACTTTTCTTCAGCACTCCGTAGTAGCAGAAGCACTGTAGCAGGCACATTAGAAAACAAAGATTCCTCCCTTTAAAAGCTTTGTTTCTAGTGGAAAGATGGAGATGGGGCAGGTAAATCAGGGCTGCGTCCGGAATTGCCTTTCATGTGAGGCGGGCTACATAATGAGTTTTGACAAACACTCACAGTGAGAGTCCTGCTTGGGATTAGAGCATGCGAAAGCTGCTCTCACCCCACAGGTGTCATGCTCACTATGTGCCCGGCTCCCTCTGGCCCTCAGACAGCAGAGAGCGGACGCTCTCGCTGCTGCTGCGGTCGAGGATGATTGGGCAGTCCAGGAGGCTTACTCCGTGGACGAGGCCCTGGATTTCCTGGGTCTGAGTGGAGGGCACGAGTCGGATGACTACGCCCCCTCCATTCATGGATCACCAGGTGGTTCCCCCATCCTCTTTCTCCTCTGGACGGAGGAGACAGAGCGGGGTCCCGGTGTAGGTCCGGCACACGGATCAGATGCGCCGGTGAAGATGGCCGCATTGTCTTTGTGCTCCTCTCCAACTTTGCCCATTTTCGTATTTTGTACATATTTCTTTTACTTTTGCCGTTTTACTTTTAACATGGTTCGCAACATGCTAGCCGACCGCACCTACTCTGCCATACAATATAGCAGAGAGGAACTTTTCCAATTGCGAAACTTCGTGGACAATATTAACCCTCCGACAGACAATGGAGATTCACCATGGCTACCTGTTGCTGTTCTACCTGAGAGACGCAAGAAGAAGACAAAGCGAGGATGCCGGGCCGGGTTGCTGGTCAGACTGAGAAAACGTGAGAATCGGCCCCCTCTTCCGAGTATTCTTCTGGCTAATGTTCAATCCATTGAAAATAAGCTAGATGAACTCAGAAGCCGGATTGCTTTTCAACGGGACATTAAGAACTGTAACGTGTTAATTCTCACTGAGACTTGGCTCAACCCCGCTATCCCGGACTCCGCTATTGTCCCTGACGGATTCTCTATTTTTCGTCAGGACCGGACTGCAAACTCGGGGAAAAGTAAGGGAGGCGGGTGTGTGTGTAATGACTAACAACAACTGGTGCTCAGATGTGAAGATTATTTCATCGGACTGTTCCGCACAGCTAGAGCACCTCATGATCTCATGTCGGGCCTTCCATCTGCCGAGGGAATTCACATCTGTTGTGATAACAGCAGTGTATATCCCGCCGCAGCCACTCGCCGACAACAACACGGCACTCGATCAGCTGTTTGGGTTTATTGATAAAACCGAGACTTCACGGCCAGATGCGGCGTTCGTTGTGGCCGGAGATTTCAACACCGCCAACATGAAGAAGGTTTTGCCAAAATATTACCAACACATCAACTTCCCGACGCGCGGGGGAAACATACTGGACCATGTTTATTCCCCTTTCCGGAATGGATATAAGGCTCTCCCTCGCCCTCCCTTCGGCAAATCAGACCATATCTCACTACTGTTGTTGCCTGCTTACAAGCAGAAACTTAAAAGGGACAGACCGATAACAAGGACAGTACAACGATGGAGCGAGGAGTCAGATTCAGCACTGCAGGATTGCTTTGCATCTACGGATTGGAGTGTGTTTGAGGACAATAACATCAACACACACACGGACACTGTCATCTGCTACATTGGGAAATGCATCGATGACGTGGTACCGAAGGTTTCTGTACGGACATTCCCAAATCAAAAGCCCTGGGTAAACGGTGAGGTGCGCGGCAAACTGAAAGCGCGCACTCTCGCGCACACAGCGGGAGATTTGGAGGAGTACAGGAAGTCTAGGTATGATCTCCGGAGAGCAATAAAAAATGCAAAGAGACAGTACAAAGAGAAGGTGGAATCTGACTTCAAAGGCTGTAACACTAGGAATATGTGGGCGGGACTAAGGACAATGACTGACTACAAAGGAGCAGCGGGGGGGTGCTGCGGGAGTGTCTGCGTGCGCATCTCTCCCAGATGAGCTAAACAGTTTTTTTTGCACGCTTTGAGAGCAGCCAGGCTGTGGAGGTACAGAGGGACCAGGAGCTACACTGCCCTTTTGTTTTAAATAGGGCAGATGTGTGTAAATCCTTTAAAAGGGTTAACCCACACAAGGCTCCTGGACCTGATGGCATCCCTGGCCGTGTTCTCAGGGTGTGTGCAGTTCAGCTGGCAGAGGTGTTCACAGACATCTTCAACAGGTCCCTGCTGCAGTCTGTAGTCCCCACATGTCTTAAACACTCCACCATCATTCCTGTCCCCAAAAAGACAATCATCACCTGCCCCAACGACTACCGCCCAGTAGCACTCACCTCCATCATAATGAAGTGCTTTGAGCGGTTAGTCAAATTATTCATCACCTCCTCCCTCCCTGAATCTCTGGACCCCCTGCAGTTTGCCTACAGAGCAAACAGGTCCACAGACGACGCCATAGCCCTCACCCTCCACACTGCCCTCTCACACCTGGACCCGAAGAACAGGAACACATATGTGAGAATGCTGTTCATTGACTACAGTTCAGCATTCAACACCATTGTGCCCTCCAAGCTGGCCATCAAGCTCAGAGACCTCGGGCTCAACAGCGCCCTCTGCGACTGGATCCTGAACTTCCTGACGGGCAGACCCCAGGCAGTGCGGGTGGGAAACATCACATCCTCCACCCTGATTCTTAACACCGGTGCCCCTCAAGGCTGCGTGCTCAGCCCTCTCCTCTACTCCCTGTTCACCCACGACTGCGTGGCCACACACAGCTCCAACACCATCGTGAAGTTTGCTGATGACACGACCGTCATCGGCCAGATCACAGACGATGACGAGACGGCATACAGAGAGGAGGTCGAAAACCTGACATCTTGGTGCCAGGAGAACAACCTCCATCTCAACATCAGCAAAACAAAGGAGCTGATTGTGGATTACAGGAAGCAGCAGGGAGAGGGACACGCCCCCATCGCCATCAATGGGACTACGGTGGAGAGAGTCAAAAGCTTCAGGTTCCTTGGGGTCCACATCACTGAGGACCTGACATGGTCTCTTCACACCACCACCATCACCAAGAAAGCTCGACAGCGGCTCTTCTTCCTCCGCAGGCTGAGGAGGTTCAAAATGGATTCCAGGATACTCTGCAACTTCTACAGGTGCACGATAGAGAGTATCCTCACTGGCAGCATGACGGCCTGGTACGGCAGCTGCACCGACCTCGATCGTAAGGCTTTACAGAGGGTGGTGAAAACTGCACAGCACATCACCAGGACGGAGCTGCCATCCATGGAGGACCTTTACTCCCAGCGGCTCAGGAAGAAATCACTACGGATTATCAAAGACCCCCATCACCCCAGCCACAAACTGTTCTTTCTGTTGCCGTCTGGCAGACGTTACCGCAGCATCCGGGCAAGGACAAGAAGATTCGGAGACAGTTTCTTCCCGCGGGCAGTGAGACTGTTAAAAAATTGAACTGTTGAAACAACTTCAAACATTCAACTGCTACTCAGTAGTATGTATCTAATACCTAATATATATATATCATTCCAATAACTTGTATATAGACTCATACTGCACTATTCCACATCATAACTTTATTTCATTTTTATAACTATTATTATTTTTGTATTGCTCTTGCTCTTATTGTTATTATGTTATGTCATTATGTTGCATTGTTGGAGAAGCCTGTGACATAAGATTTTCAACTGCATAATTACTCTGTAGCTATGTCAGATTGACAATAAAGAACCTTGAACCTTGAACCCTTGAGTGGTCTCTCTCTCCGCCGTCACGGCTCTGCCGTCGATTGGAACTCCCGGAACTCCCGGAGATCATCTCTAAGGCAGCCGCCTGGCGAGATCTCCCCGTTCCCCCAGCTCAGGAGAGCGCGTTTTCGGATGACATGTCCGGGGTGTTCTCCCAGGCACAGAGGGTCAAGAGTGACCCGATCTGGCCACGCTTCCCGCCCATTAGGAAGTACCAGGAGGGGGCGGCG